AGTCTGCACCTGGTCCAGCAGCATGAGAATCTCCTAGCATCCCAAATAGTCCTCAGAACAGGTACACGAAGCAGGCAGAACAGTGCTTTGACTGTGGCAATGATTTGTCAGTGCAACGCGGCTACAGGATTCATAAGGTGGAAGGAAGAGGAAAGGGTGGGGTCCATAGTGACAGGGTGTGGGTTATGGGCTTTTTCCTACCAAGCCCAGCTCAGAGGGGTGCTGCTATATAGAAGCCCCAGTCTCCATGGAAGGAGGAGATATTTTCACTCCAGGATTGAGAGGGCGAGGTCCCTAAAGGTGGGGTTGGGGATACTGCCATCCCAGTCAAGAAGCCAGTATTGGCCCATCTGTATTATATACCTGGGGACCTTCAACTTTTTTGCTTGATATTATTTTTTGTTGTTATTTTGCTTTGTTTGTTTTTGGCTTGAACTTACCACGCTGAGATCAAGAGTCGCGTGCTCTAATGACCGAGCCAGTCAGGCGCCCCCTGCTTGATAATATTTTTAATCATAAGTGTAAGTAGTTATAAAGGATGTGTCGTAAATATTGACATCTTAAAAAAAAAAATGTGGGGGCGCCTGGGTGGCTCAGTCGGTTGAGCGTCCAGCTTCGGTTCAGGTCATGGTCTCACGGTTTGTGAGTTCAAGCCCCACGTCGGGCTCTGTGCTGACAGCTCGGAGCCTGAAGCCTGCTTCTGATTCTGGGTCTCCCTCTCTCTCTGCCCCTCCCCCACTCATGCTCTGTCTCTCTCTGTCTCAGAAATAAATAAACATTTAAAAAAAAATGTGTCCTTACATGAATGCAGTGAAGTCTAAATATCATTGCACTCTAATTCCACCATTATCTATTTTAAAAGGAAATGAAGGGGTGCTGGGTGGCTTAATCGGTTAAGCGTCAGACTCTTGATTTTGGCTCAGGTCATGATCTCACGGTTTCAGTTTTGTGAGTTCGAGCCTCGCAAGGGGCTGCTTGAGATTGTCCCTCTTTCTCTGCCCCTCTTCTGCTCTACTTTCTGTGCCTGTCTCAAAAAAAAAAAAAAAAAAAGACTCATGGATTCCCCCTTTGTTCACCTGTGATGAGGTGACAGACATTCCAAATTCCCATTCGCGGACTCATCAGCGGTTAGCTGAACTGCGGGCACTGACCAACTGCAACAAAATGCTTATTAACTGAACGTTGGCTAAGCTTCTCTTCTTCCTCTAGGTCCCTCAACCATGGCCCACGGCCAGCCAGAGCCAGTTTACTACCCCACCTACCATCTGGATGTCAGGTTAGATTACTCCTGTTCAGCCCTCCTCCCCATCCCCATTCTCTCTAGCCTTGTTTATTCTTCCCTATAAAAGAAAACCTTTTTTTTTTTTTTTTGCCCAACCTAGCGGATCTTGCGGTCAGGGCACTCCCCTATGGCTATAGCTCTCTGCGCACCTCTCCCTGCCCCCAATAATCCTTCCAAATAATGTCTCTCCTTAATAAATTACACATTATGTGCAACATTGTTTTTCCTTCTTGAGCTTCTATTTCCATGCAGCTGGTACAGAGTTAATCACAGCATAATATATTTTCAGGCTTGGCAATATTTTCTGGATCAGCCAATCATACATTTTTCAAAAAATTATGTGTATAAATTTGATCTTGTTCACTCTAAAAAAGTGTTCTGTGAACTATAAAGTTCTGGGTGTTAATTTTTTCCTTCTAAATTGAGGTATTGTTGCAAGGGTTTGCAGTATATGTGATCAAATAACAAATATATAGCATCCCATTATACATGAGAGAGCATCTTTTTTTTTTTTTAGAGAGAGAGAGAGAGAGAGAGAGAGAGAGCCAGGGAGAGGGGCAAAGGGAGAGAGAATCTTAAGCAGGCTGCATGCTCAACACAGAGCCAGACACGGGGCTTGATCCCCTGACCCTGGGATCATGACCTGAGCTGAAGTCAAGAGTTGGACACTCAACCGACTGAGCCACCCAGGTGTCCCAGAGAGATCCTCTTTACACATAAAAAAGTACATTTTTATTAGAAGTGCTGTTGAAAATCTGTCTCTTAAGGAGGTAGATTGAGCCAGTTATTTTTCCAGTAAGTTTATAGGTCCAGGGATGAATATTAGTTTTTCCAAGAACGAGACAGAGTTTGGACCTTTTGTAAGCACTGATGAACACTGTTCACATAAGAGGTAGAGAGAAGTACAAGGAGGTTTGTTCCGTCAGTGTCTCTCGGTTCTTTTAATTCCTGATAATTATCTAGCTTCAAAACAAAATATTTTAAATGACCTATTAGCTGACAACATAATTAATTAAATCCTCCTTAGATCACAGTGGAAGGAAATCAGAAACCACCTGACTTGTAGAAGGGTTTCTTGCCCCTTCCTCGGTAATAACCCATCTGTGGTAGAACTGACTTACTGTTTATCCCTCCTGGAGACTACTTTTATTTCCCAGGGTAATGCAACAGAGCAAGATTCAGAATGAGTGTGTGCGGGGAAACTTTGCTTTGTAAAGCTGGAGACAGCTGGTTACACAAGGGGAGAACCACAAGGCTGAACCACAAGGACTGTAGGCATGTGCTCAGGTCCAGCCCCATGGGAGTTGAATATCCTGATACTGAGTCCCTGAAAACCCTCCTTGCCCCCAGAGTTAGCTCTCACAAAGTCTCCTTGTCTGGAGACCTTACATCCCCTCTCCACCCCCTTCCCTTCCACTCTCTGTCCTATCACTGTTGCCTAAGAAGCTCTGGAATCTGTCCCAAGCTCTTTATCGTCTCTCCCACTCTGGCCCCCAGGATCTTATCTTACCTGAATGTCCACAATCACCCCCAACTCCTCTTTCTCCAGACCTAATCCGTTCCTCTCACACTGCAGCCAGAGAGAGAGCTTCCCCAAATGCAAATGAACCAGCTCTGGATTAAACTCCCAGCTCCCCGAAGCCCTCAGGAGACTGAGTAGAAGGACTTACCTCTCTAGTGGTCTCATCTTTTGTCCTGCTTCCCTCAAATCTACTCTGGTCAGAAGTAGCAGATTCCTGAGCACATGTACCTCTGGCCTTCTGGGTATTTTGCAACGTCACTACTGCTTACAAGATGGAGCTAGGCGGAGTCAGGACTTTTTGGTAAGGGTCTTTGTTTGGACCCTAGCTGTTTCCTCTTAATTTCTTTAAAGTGTCAATTTCCTTGGGGCGCCAGGGTGACTCAGTCGGTTAAGCCTCTGACATCGACTCAGGTCATGATCTCATGACTCAGGTCATGATCTCACAGTAGGTGGGTTTGAGCCCCGCATTGGGCTCTGTGCTGACAGATCAAAGCCTGGAGCCTGCTTTAGATTCTGTGTCTCCCTCGCTCTCTGCCCCTCCCCCGCTCGCACTCTGTCTCTCTCAAAAATAACCATTAAAATAATTTAAGTGTCCCTTTCCTTAACTGTAAAACAGAAATAATAATAGCACATATTTCATGGGGTTCTTCTACATATTATATATGTATTGCCTGGCATACAGTAGTGCTTGCATAATAAATGTGAACTGTTTATTATTATTCTTGCTATTTTTTGTATATATCCTTTTTATTTTTTTAATCTTTTATTTAAATTCCAGTTAGTTAATATGCAGCATAATATTAGTTTCAGGTGTACAATTGAGTGATTCAGCACTTACAAACAATATCCACTGCTCAACACAAGTGCCCTCCTTAATCCCCATCACCTTTTTTTTAGCTTGTTTTACTTTTTATTTTTTTAAATTTACGTCCAAATTAGTTAGCATATAGTGCAACAATGATTCCAGGAGTAGATTCCTTAGTGCCCCTTAACCATTTAGCCCATCCCCCCTCCCACAACCCCTCCCATAACCCTCAGTTTGTTCTCCATATTTATGAGTCTCTTCTGTTTTGTTCCCCTCCCTGTTTTTATATTATTTTTGTTTCCCTTCCCTTATGTTCATCTGTTTTGTCTCAAAGTCCTCATATGAGTGAAGTCATATGATTTTTGCCTTCCTCTGACTGACTAATTTCACTTAGCATAATACCCTCCAGTTCCATCCACGTGGTTGCAAATGGCAAGATTTCATTCTTTTTGATTGCCGAGTAATACTGCATCGTATATATATACCACATCTTCTTTATCCATTCGTCCATCGATGGACATTTGGGCTCTTTCCATACTTTGGCTATTGTTGATAATGCTCCTATAAACAAGGGGGTACATGTGTCCCTTCGAAACAGCACACCTGTATCCCTTTGGATAAATGCCAAGTAGTGCAATTGCTGGGCCGTAGGGTTATTGTTCTTGCTATTATTCTGGTCGCACTGAATTCTCTGTTAACCGTTCTGTTTTCCAGCCAGACCTCGAGCAACTAGAGTTTTAGGGATTGTGCTTATTTTGTGTATCCCATTGCTGAGGCCATAGCAGGAACTTCGTACTTATGAATAAAGTATTGCAGAGAGATAAATGAAAGACTAGCGCCCCGAAGGAGCAAACCTGACTTTAAAAATCTCTCTTTAGTACCCCTCACGTATATTATTTCACTGAATCCCTATGACACCCAAGGGGTAGGGGCTATTATTCCCATTCTGCAAATGTGGGTGTGTCTTCTGTAAGTCATTCGGCCTTTGGGGGTACAGAGCTCGTAGGAGGCCACATCCCGACCCAGGGAGCGGGGTGGATCGGGGCTGGGGGGACACAGATCCGAGGAATGCGACCCCGGAAAGAAGAGGTCACGGTCTCCTCCGGTTCGTTTAAAATTTGTCGCCATTCTGGCCGGCTCCGGACCCAAACCACACCCCTTTAGGAATCCCCGCCCCCTCTGCCGCCCTGCGCCTATCCGCCGCGAGCCAGGCTCCCGGCCAATCAGAAGAAGGGTTAGGCGGGCGCGGCCGTTCCGCGAGCCAATGGGTGGGGAGCCGGAGCGGGGCTTGCCCGGGCATGTGGGAGCTGCAGGCTGTCTGAGCACCACGTGCGGGCGGGAGGACAGACGCCGCACTTCAGGTGATCTCGGGACCCTGTTGGGGACGGCGGGCTGGGGCGGGCTGGCGCGGCGTGTTCCCGGCCGCAGGGCCCCGCGTGCGGTGTTCGCCCCCGGCCTGCGGCAAGGGCAAGGGGCGCCCGGTCGACCAGCTCTCGCGGCCCGGCGGGCGTGGAGGCCTGGCCCCGGGCGCAGCCTGTGCCCGGTCCCCGCCCTGCTCGGGGGTCCGGGGCCTGTGGGGGGTGGCTCTGGGCGCTGGGACTCGGCCTGGCAGGCTCGGCCCGGCCGCCGCGGCCAGCGAGTGACCGCCTTCCGAGTCCTTCCCTGGCAGAAGTCGGGCCTCCCCCGCGGGGGGAATCCTCAGGGATCGCGGGCGGCCGGGGCCGACCGTACGGGGCCCTCGGGCTCTCGTTTCCCTGCCGAGAACTTGGGAGCCCACGGGGATCTCAGCGAGCCACACTTGCTCAAATTCGGGCGATTATTCGTAGCAGGGCTTGGGGGTGGGGTCGCGCGCTCGGTGAAATACAGATTCTCAGGCGCCCTTCCCCAAAATGGCAGTTAGAATAGTGGGGGGGGGGGGGGCAGGTAGGCCTGGGAATAGGCGTTTTAAACAGACGTTCTAACTGCTTTTGGGGAAGCCCCAAGCCTAGTTCAACCCTTGGTTTTAATAAACTCTCCTTTTGTGGCGAGGGGATGGTGACTCGGTCCAGGTCGTCTAGCTTTTAATGCCCCAGCGCTAAGTGGGCCCGCACCGGCCCTGTCTTCCTGATCTGCCAGCAGGTTGGTAGCCCCCTCCGCGATTGGGACTTTGTGGTTCCTTTGAGGCCTTGGCTCTGAGGCCTCTGCTGCTGGGGTGCTGGGGTCCTTCCCTTAGGCCACAAGGCTCCCTAACCCCTGCAACAAGAAGGCCCTGTGGCTGCCGAGCCCCGAAGAGCTGGTTCCAGACTGGAGGGGGATTGGACCTTGTCTTTACTGAAACAGTTGTGTTATTTGAGCAAAACTTGTCTCCGGCCTGGCTGAGCTCCCATCGGGGGCCCAGGATAGGGGAGGCAAGTCCTAGATAATTAATCGTTGTCTCCGACAGGTCAGCAAGGTCCCGGCATTTGGAAGAGGGCTGCCTCCACCTCTTGAAGCACGAGGCCACTTTTTCTCAGGCAACTTCAATTTCTGGTTTCTTTGAAACCATCTTGCCAGTAAGGGTCAGGGAAGCCACTCCTGACCTGCAGGGCCCTGAGCCCTTTCAGAAGGGAGAGGGCCCTCCTCCCCCCAACAGAGGTCAGTTCCTAGCAGCATCGGAGTTTGTCCTCCTAGGTCCCGTTCTCCCCATTGCCGGGCTGAGGCAAATTGAGGTTCTGTGTTTGTCGGCTCTCCTATGTGACTTGTCGAGATGAAGAAGCAGATTATGGCTAAGTGCACGTCTAAAAGGGAGAAGGCTTCTTGGGGAGTAGATGAGCAAGCCAGAGGGACGATGAGTCAGGATGGGGCACCGTGCCTTGCCCTGGCCCCGCGTCGCGGAGTAGCACTCCTCCCCACGCCTCTTAAATCTCTGCTCCTGTTCAGACTCTTCTCCAGAGCTCCTCCTATAAGGCAGTCGTGCTCCTGTTCCTGCATCAATCCCTGGACGGAGCCCATGCTTTCAGCACCTTCCAGACACAGTTCTCTCTCGCCCTGCACCGTCTCCTCACCCCCTACCTCCTTTTCACTTGCTGCACCGCCTCCTTGCCCTCTCACAGTGGATGTACTCTGCCTGCTGGACTTCGTGTCTGCATTTTCTCTGGATGCCCTCCCCTTTCTGTACTCCTGGCAGACTTTCCTGAAACTCTTCAAAATGTGCTTCCACTGCCAGGCTGCACTAACCCAGCGCTTCTGTCTGTCCAGTACTTGGCCCGGTGAGTCACCTTGGCCAGGCCAGCCTGTCCTTAGTTCACCTCTCCCATCCCTGAGCCCACCCTGGTGGGTGTCTGGCTGCCTGTCTCCTTGCCACACCGGGAGCTCCCTGAGTTCCCAGTCACCTCCAGCTCCGGCATCCCCACGGTCTGGCAGATAGCAGGCCCGGCTCCAGCTCCCTTCACGCACTTCTGAAGAGGACCTGCTATATGCTGGGGCCTGGGCTGGCTGATGGGGAAGGAGCAGAGACACACAAGGCTCTGTGCCTGCCTTTCAAGCACTTTGAGCTGGACCGTATGTAACTACGGCCTGAAAGTGTAGCGGATTCTTCTCTGGTTGTGCTGTTAGGAGTAGAGGGATGACTTTCTTTGCTCCCCAGCTAGACTGTAACTGTCTGGGTTTAGGGCTACTGTGCAGTATTTCAGTGACTTCCCTGGGTGCTCTGGGACTCCCTCAGTCGATCAGCAGAGATCAGCCTGGGGCCACCAGCTTAGGGTAGGGCCACCGAAGTGTACGATAGCCTTCTCAGAGTGGGGACAGAAGGTTGAGTAGTAGAAAGGGGGGAGGGACAGTTCCCCCAGCTGTGATTTACCCACCAGCGTCATCGTCTGCTCACGGGCCCCTCTTCCTTCCCCAACCCTGGGCTCCTTTCCTTTCAGGCCCTTGCACCAAACGTGGCCACTAATTTGTCTCCCTGTCACCTCGAGGGTTACTGTTTTTCCTTCACTTAGATTTAATCTCTTCTGGCAAGTCTTCCAGAATCATCCTCAGCATGTTCTGCTTCCCTGGCACTTCTGACCCAGCCCTGCACACACCCTGTGCTTTGTCCCTGTCTCTGCAGTGAGATGAAACTTCTTGGAGCCCGGTTGGGACCCCAGGGAGCCTCAGGCGGCCCAGTGGAATGAAGGGCTGCTCCAGCAGGACTTCCTGAAAGATGTAGACAGGACAGGGGACGTATGTGAGGGGGACTGGAGGCAAGAGGAAGGCCTGTGGCTGGGGATGGGCAGTGAGTCCAGGCTGAGGCAGCTTTGACCTTGGAAGAGTTCGTTACCAACCAGGAGAAGAGGCTTAACCTCTCTGGGGGAGAGGTACCTCGGTAGCTCAGTTGGTTAAGCATCTGACGCTCGATTTGGCTCAGGTCATGATCTCCCGTTTCTTGAGTTCAAGCGTCGGGCTCTGTGCTGACAGTGCGGGGCCTGCTTGGGATTCTCTCTCCCTGTCTCTCTGCCCCTCTCCCTCTCGTGTGCGCGCACGCTCTCTAAATAAATAAATAAACGTACAAGAAAAACCTCTCTGGGGGAAAGGAAGCAGGTAGTTATTGAGCCCCTACTGTATACGGTGTATGCAGATCATAGCACACGTGTGTCGTGTCTTCAACAGGAAAGGTGGTAGGGCCATTTCGCATGCAAGCCGCCTGAAGCTCAGCAGAGCTCCGTCCGGAGCGGAGTTAAATCCTGCTCTGCCTGCTTGAAAGTCCTGGTTTTCTGGTCTGTTAACAATGTACCAGCTGACTTAGCAGGTGAGGTGAAGCTCTCCGAGCTAGGTCCCCCCTAGGTCCCCCGCTCTTGGGCGGCTGCTGGCCTTGTTGCATGGGATTTGCAGCCCCCTGTGAACTGCAGGCCTTTCTGGTGTTCAGTGATGGAGAGCTTGGGGCCCCGGAGGCCTGCAGACACTGCTGCTCAGGGCCTTTTCCGTTTCCGCTTTGTAAGCTGAGCAGGTTTACCATCACGCTGCTACCCACAGCCTATGGTGACCTCACAACGTGCCCAGCTGTTGAAAAATGTTTGCGCGTGCTCTTGTGATTTGTGAAGTAGAAAGTCATTTAATAGATTACCATATTTTGGGGGCACTTGGGTGGCTCAGTCGGTTAAGCATCCAACTTTTGATTTCGGTTCAGGTCATGATCTCACAGTTTGTGGGTTCGAGCCCTGTGTTGAACGGCTTTGTGCTGACAGCACTGAACCTGCTTGGGATTATCTGTCTCCCTTTCTCTCTGTCCCTCTCCTGCTCATGCTCTCTTTCTCTCAAAATAAATAAATAAACAGTAAAAACAAAACAAACAACTGGGATTATACACACACACACACACACACTATTTTTGGAACCCTTATTTTTCTCAAAAGTATACCTTTCTTAACAAATTTTAAGTTTGTTTTTAAGACAGAGCATGAATGGTGGAGGAGGGGTAAAGAGAGAGAGGGAGAGACAGAATCGGGGGCAGGCTCCTCTGAGCTGTCGGTGCAGAGCCCGATGCAGGGCTCGGCTCGCAAACCTTGAGATCATGACCTGAGCTGAAGTCAGATGCTGAACCAACTGAGCCACCAGGGCGCTCCTAGCTTTCTACAAATTTTTGATGCCAATGCTTACTGGAGGTAAGCTATGGCTTGGCAGTTGAGACCTTGGACCCTGGGTCCATATCAGTTCTTGTCTCTTATTAATTGAGCAGGTTACTTAGTCTCTCTGCTTCAGTTCTCTTGCCTGTGATTACGAGGATAATAATACTTGTTCGGGTTGTTGGGAATATTTAGCGATTCCCTGTAAAGTACTCAGTACCGTGATTTGCATGTGGGGTTGACCTGAGTGCATTGCTTATTCGTAAAGGTCTTCGACTCGGCCTGGGAGCCTGAGACAGCACAGGGCTGTAGGGCAGCCCGGCAGAGGGGCCCAGTTCTCACCCACCCCCTCTGCCCCTTGTGTTCTTTCTGCAGAGCGCTGCCCCGCTGGCACGTTGCCTCCCGGGCCTCGCTGGACCCCGGCGGTGAGCTTATTGGGATGGTACCCCGGGAAGGCCCTGAGTCCGCCCAGCGCCTGTGCCCTTCCCTGGCTGGCCTGAATGCCAAGGATGTGCTTCGGAGAAAGCACAAGACGAGGAGCCGACAGCACCAGCGATTCATGGCCCGGAAGGCCTTGCTGCAGGTGCAGGGACTGCTGAGCACGCCCGCAGGGCCGGGATCCTCCCCACTGCTCGCACGGCCGGAGGCGCTGCCGGGCTCTGAAGCCACCAGCAGCAGGATGCAGCGTCCAAGGAATGAATCTGGAGGTGCCTCGTGCAGCCGAAAGCCCACGCCCAGGGAATCCACAGCGCCCTGGCCCAGCAAGTGCGTGGCTATCGACTGCGAGATGGTGGGCACGGGGCCCCGCGGGCGGGTGAGTGAGCTGGCCCGCTGCTCTGTGGTGAGTTACCACGGCGACGTCCTCTACGATAAGTACATCCGGCCGGAGATGCCCATCGTGGACTACCGTACTCGCTGGAGTGGCATCACTCGGCAGCACATGCGCACAGCCATCCCCTTCCAGGTGGCCCAGAAAGAGGTGAGGGCAGAGGTGGGGGCTTGTGTGATGGCTGATGGCCAGCGAAGGGCAGCCCTGGGTTTGAGCCACCACTTAGCCGGTGGAAACAAAAGACTTCGGGGAAGTTACTTAACTTGCCTACACTGTGGCTTCCTTCTGCAAAGAATCCTGTGCCAGCAGGAAGGGGTTGCTCGTACTGAGGAGTTAGAAGATGGACCCCATGTGTGCCTTCCCTTCATGCTCCAAACCACTCGTGGGGAGAGCACCTGTACCGGGGACAGAGCTGAAGTAGGCCCTGGGTCGTAGTAACTGGGAGGGCCTGGGTTCAGACTGGAGGCAGCTTAGCTGACTGGAGCTCGTGGCTCCCCCCCCCACCCCACCCCACCCCACCCCACCCCACCCCCCAGCATGCTGCCACCCCTCGGCGGGATCCGGGCATCAGCGGTGAGGCTGGCAGCGTGACCATGGGGACTTCCCACCTCCCTTCTCCGCTCCCAGATCCTCAAGCTCCTGAAGGGCAAGGTGGTGGTGGGGCACGCGCTACACAACGACTTCCAGGCCCTCAAGTACGTCCACCCTCGGAGCCAGACCCGGGACACCACCTACGTGCCCAACCTGCTCCAGCGACCTGGCCTCCATACGCGCACCCGGGTCTCTCTGAAGGACTTGGCCCTGCAGCTGCTGCACAAGAAGATCCAGGTACATGGCACGGGAGCAGGTGGCCGGTGGCCGCAGTGAGCGGGGGCCCCAGCTGGGGCTGTGCCTCCAGGCTCCGGTCCCGCTTCCTCCCCCGTCCAGGGCACACGGGTAAAGCGCGGGCTGTCGCGTCTGCAGGCAGCCCCGGGGTGCTCTCTCCCCCGTCCTTCCCCGGTGTCCACGCTCTTGCAGGCTGCTTGCTGTCTTCCAGATCCGCCCCCTGCCCACCTCCACTCTGTCACCATGCATGTTGCATGTAGAGCTCCCATCGCGCAGCTGGAGAGCTGGATGGAGCCTTCCTCAGGGGCGGCCAGTGACCCTCGCTCCCACTGCCCTCCGCGTTTCCCCACCTGCCCTCCAGGCCTTTGAAGGCGGAGGTCTTTAGCGGGTGTAGATCTGAGGACGAGGGCTCAGCGGAGCGGGGTGGCATGGGGCCCGTGCGATGGCTGAGCTTTTCTGTCTGAGCGGCACCCTCGCCCTCCGCCCAGTCCCGAGCTGCGCGCAGCCGCTCGGAGAGTACGCTTTCGGGGCCCGCGGGCAGTGACGGGGACTGTCGTCCGCAGGCTGGCCGTCACGGCCACTCGTCGGTGGAAGACGCCATGACGGCCATGGAGCTCTACCGGCTGGTCGAGGTGCAGTGGGAGCAGCAGGAGGCCAGCAGCCTCCCCGCCTGCCCGGAGGACCGGGAGCCCGACAGCGGCACAGACACGGAGCAGTACATGGAGGACCGGTACTGGCCGGAGGACCTGGCCCAGGGCCCCAGCGGAGGAGCGGGGGATGCACAGGACAGAGGCGAGTGAGGCCAGGGAGGCTCCCGGGTGGCCTCCGAGGGCGGCGAGTGGTGTGTGGGGGCCAGGCGAGCCCCGGGCACCGCGTCCTGGGCGGGACGGGGTGCCGCTAGCCCGCTGCCGGCACCCGGGGGTTGGGACCACCGGTCCTCCTGGCTCCCTCTGCCCACGGCGCGGCCCTCCCCTCCCCAGGGCTACTGCGGGCACTTTGTCCCCACCCCTGTGGTCGCTAATGGTGCTTCATCATAGACACCGTGAAAACGTCAGGTGGGCAAGCTGTGAGGACCCAGCCCGAGGAGGGACTGTGCCACAGACGGTCCTGGCTGTCACTGGCCTTCCCCGCCCCCAGGCTGCGCTGTCTATAGGGATGACGTCTCCTCCTTGGGGTGTTAGTTCAGCTCAGTGACTTGGTAAAGCCCTCTTGTTGTCCTCTGCCCCGTCCTCCACAGGCACGTCAGGTTCAGAAGGAGTATGCCCTGAATCTGTAGAGTGAAGGCCACTCTACGGGGCCCTCCTTCGCTTTCTCTCGGAACTGGAACTCCGGCTGTAGCCGTAGTGGGAACCCAGCGCGAGGCTACGATGGCATGGCAGGGCTCTCAGGCTCATGGGGTATTGGCACCAGAAGTCACCAGGCACTGGTGGGAGGACGAAAGCCGATAGGCTTTGGGTGGGGAGTGTGGCATACTAATTTTGACCCAAATCAGGCATTTCTCCTGCCCATGCAGCACGAGGCTCCCTTAAGCACAAGCCTGAGGAACAAGACGGCAGCTTGAATCCCGGGACCCCTGTGCAGAACCGCACCCAAGGGACCTTATTTATCGAGAGCAAGGCCAGCGGTGTGCCGGGGAGCAGAGTGGGTGTCCCCCGGGGATAGGGCCGGGCAGTGGCGGCCGTGCAGTGCACCCGCACCCGGGCTGGGGTCCCCTCAGGGACTTTGATCCACAGTCATTGTGGTTATTGGGTTTTCTCCAAATTTCTAGAACTGCTCTCTGTCAGGATTTCATCTCCCACCCTTCTTTCCTTGTTTCCTAAGGGGCAGTTTGGGGGTATTGAGGTTCAACCAAGAGCTCAGGTCCACACAGACCGTTGAGCCCCATCTTGGCTTGCCACTTAATAGCTTTGAGACCTCAAGTCTTTGACCTCACTCTTGAGCCCGTTTCCTTGTCTGTAAAATGGGGATAATGATATAACCTACCTCACAGAACTGTCACGGGGGGACGCTAAGTGCTTAGTGCAGTGCCTGGCACTTCACAAGCCCAGGTCGGTGGGAGCAGCTATTTTTTCTTCAAGGGTCACTGTCAGCCTCTTCTGGGTCACACCTGAACACGCCCCTTGGCTTGAGTGGCTTCGGCCCAGACGGGGACTGTCCTTCCTTGCTTAGCTGTTCCAGCAGGTGGGGCACCGGGCCAGCTGTGGACACAACCTGGAGGTGCTGGGTTCTCCCTGCGGCCGTGTGACCTGTGTATACTCCGCGTCCCTCTGTGTGCAGGAAGCTGACGATGGTTTCTGTGTCCATCTGGGCCAAGCAGCAGGGCCAGGAGCTGAGAGACGCTGCTGAAACCACACTACTTTGAACTTGTCTGTCACCAGCTCCCTCGCCGTCTGCAGAGTGGGGAGCTGGCTGAGGCGCTGACCTCTGCTGGCCTGGCTCCAGGGCTTTGTTCTGGAGTCCTTAATAGTCTGTAGCTGGCGCCAGACTCCCAGCTGGGGCGTAGCTTCGATTCTTGGGGCTGTGGGTTGAAGAAAGATGGAGCTGTTACCAGCAGGGAAATGTACTGGCTTTAAAATCAGCTTTGTTGTAAAACCAATTGTTCTGGAATAAAACTCCGCGAGAAACGTGGATGAAGTGGCCCTTTCTGAATTCTCCGACTGGGGTGGGAGGGTGGCTTGGTGGAGAGACCGGGAGGTGTGGGAGCACTGCGTCTTGCTGGGTGCTTTGGCATTTGAGGTGGGGGCTTTCCAGATGATGCTTTGGGATGTGGCAAGAACATTCTAAAGCTACAGAATTTATGTCTTTCAAATACTTTGTTGAGCTTATTTATTTTGAGAGAGAGAGAGAGAGAGAGAGAGAGAGAGAGCATGAGCTGGGGAGGGACAGAGAGGGAGAGAGGGAGAATTCAAGCAGCCAAGCAGGTTCCGTGCTGTCAGTGCAGATCCCGACGTGGGGCTTGATTTCATGAACTGTGAGGTGATGATCTGAGCCAAAACCAAGAGTCGGACGCTTCACCGACTGAGCCCCCAGGCGCCCCTATTTTTTAAAATTTTATCACTGCCCTATTGTAGAGCATAAAGTTTATTTAATTTGCTTCTGCTGAAGCTGTGTACTCACTTTTTTAAGACAATTTTTGGTTTTGATTGTGATTAAATACACATAACATAAAATTTACCATCTTCACCATTTCTAGGTGCACAGCTCAGTGGTGTTACGTATATTTACATCGTTGTACAATCTCCAGAGCTTTTTCATCTTGCAAAACTGAAACTGCTCATTTCACACTTAACTCCCCATTCCCTCCTCCCCCCCGCCCCTGGCAATTGCCATTCTGCCTTCTGTTTCTATGAATTTTTTTTTTTTACTAAAAAAAATTTATTTTAATGTTTATTTTTGAGAGAGAGAGAGAGAGAGAGAATCTGAAGCAGGCTCCAGGCTCTGAACTGTCAGCACAGAGCCCGACGCGGGGCTCAAACCCACGAGCCACAAGATCATGACCTGAGCCGAAGTCGACACTCAACCGACTGGGTGACCCAGGCACCCCTGTTGCTATGATGTTTACTAGATGCCTCATCGAAGTAGAATCGTCCAGTATTTGTCTTTGTGATTAGCTTATTTCACTTAGTGTAAGGTCCTCCAAGTTCATTCATGTTTAGTATGCAGGAGGATCTCCTTCCTTTCTTTAAGGCTGAATAATCATTTGGGTGCATATACCTCATTTTGGTTATCCAGTCACCCCTCAGTGAATACTTGGCTTTCTTCCCCTGCTTAGTTGTAACATTGCTGTGAACACAGGTGTGCAATGTCTCTTTGGAATCTGCTTTCAGTGCTTTGGGGTGTATACCTGTAAGTAAGATTGCTGGATCGTATCATAGTTCTGTATCTAATATTTTGAGGAACGGCCACACTATTTTCCACGGCGGCTGTACCATTTTACGTTCCCACCACCAATGCACAAGCTTTCTAATTTCTTCACATCCTCACCAACACTTGTTATTTTCTGGGTTTTTTGGGTTTTGTTTTGTTTTTGGTTTTTGGTTTTACTTGTTTACCTTTTTTGGTAGGTATCCTAGCGGGTGTGGGGTGATAATCTCATTCTGGTTTCAACTTGCGTTTCCCTAATAACTAGAGATCTTGAACATCTTTTTGCGTATCTGTTGACATATAGGAGTTTTTTTCACTTTTTGTGTCTTTAAAAAAAATTCAACTTTTTTTTTTAATTTTTTTTTTAAGTTTATTTTTGACAGTGACAGAGTGTGAGCATGAGCTTGGGAGGGGCAGAGAGAGAGAGGGAGACACAGAATCTGAAGCAGGCTCCAGGCTCTGAGCTGTCAGCACAGAGCCTGACATGGGGTTCAAACTCACAAACTATGAGATCATGACCTGGGCCGAAGTCAGATGCTTAACCGACTGAGCCACACAGGCGCCCCATCATTTATTTCTTTTTTTTTTTTTAAGAGACAGAGACAGAGTGTGAGTGGTAGAGGGGCAGAGAGAGAGGGAGTTGCAGATTTGGAAGCAAGTTCCAGGCTCTGAGCTGTCAGCACAGAGCCCGACGAGGGGCTTGAACTCAAACCATGAGATCATGACCTGAGCCGAAGTTGGACACTTAACCGACTGAGCCACCCAGGCTCCCCTCACTTTTTGTGTCTTGTAAAATATTTTTTTTAATTGTTTTGTTTTAGAGAGAGAGCGCTAGTGGGGGAGAAGGGCAGAGGGAGAGCGACTTATTTGTTTATTTTAAAATGTTTGTTTTTGAGAGAGAGAACATGAGTGGAAGAGGGAGAGAGAAGACAGAGGATCCAGAGCAGGCTCTGTACTGACACCAGCAAGCCTGATGCAAGGCTCGAGCTCGCAAACCGTGAGATCATGACCTGAGCCAAAGTCAGATGCTCAACAGACTGAGCCACCCAGGTTCTCCTATTATTGTATTGTATTTATTTTATTTTATTTTATTTTATTTTATTTATTTTATTTTATTTTATATTATCTTCCTATTTTATTTTAGAGCACACGTGTGCGAGCAGGGCAGGGGCAGAGAGAAAGAATCTCAAGCAGACTCTATGCTCAGCACTGAGCCCGACTCGGGGCTCCATCCCATGACCCCGGGATCATGACCTGAGCCGAAACCAAGAGTCGGATGCTCAACCGACTGAGCCACCAAGGCGCCCTGTGTTTCTTTTGAAAACCGTGTCCCATTCGCAGTTTTACATGTATTAAATTGAACCACACCAAGTTGCTGCCATTTGACTGAGCTGGTCCTACCTGCCACATACACCTTAGAAATCCACACAGGCACATTTTTGAGCACACGCCCGCTGAGACAGAAGGTCAGGGTGCCTATAGGGAGCGGTGTCCTACCCGCTGTTAGGAATCATCCACTCTCAGCCTGCAGCCCGTGCTTGGTGCCACCTTGGTCACAGGTGGGTCGACTGAGGCAGGATGTGTGTCTTGTAAGGTTGAGAGGTTTGCCTTGAGGGACTTTCCTGCTGTCACTTGACCTGAGGGCTGCAGCCTTGTTCTGGCTGACGGGTAACACCAGTTAAACCCGGGAAGCCTCCCTTCCAAGCTCTTCCCCCCACCCATCCCCCTGGCTGGGGCCAGGGGCTTCTCCCCTAGGCTGTCAGAGGGCCCCCGTCTGACCTCAGCGTGCCCAAGGCCTTGGGAAAAGATGCAACACAGATCTGGGGGGTTCTCTCGGTGCAGGTGCCGGGCGCCCTGCAGCAAAACAAGCAGAGGGGGGGGAGGAGGAGAGGAGCAAGTAAACTACATGGGATTTCAGATGATGCTAACTATTCCTACAGAAGAAACCCAGAAGGGATTGGAGGTGCAGTTGTGGGTTTTTTTAAACATAATTTATTGTCAAATTGGCTAACATACAGTGTATACAGTGTGCTTTTGGGTTTTGGGGTAGATTCCCGTGGTTCATCGCTTACATGCAACACCCAGTGCTCGTCCCAACCAGCGCTCTCCTCAACGCCCACCACCCATTTTCCCCTCTCCCACGCCCCATCAACCCTCAGTTTGTTCTCTGTATTAAACAGTCTCTTATGGTTTGCCTCCCTCCCTCTCTGAAACTATTTTTCGCCCTCCCCTCCCCCATGGTCTTCTGTTAAGTTTCTCAAGATCCACATATGACTGAAAACATATGGTATCTGTCTTTCTCTGACTGATTTATTTCACTTAGCAGAATACCTTCAAATTCTATCCACATTGTTGCAAATGGCGGGATTTCATTCTTTTTCATTGGCAAGTAGGATTCCATTGTATATATAAACCACATCTTTATCCATTCATAAGTTGATGGATATTTGGGCTCTTACCGTAATTTGGCTATTGTTGAAAATGCTGCTATAGGGGCGCCTGGGTGGCGCAGTCGGTTAAGCGTCCGACTTCAGCCAGGTCACGATCTCGCGGTCCGTGAGTTCCAGCCCCGCGTCAGGCTCTGGGCTGATGGCTCGGAGCCTGGAGCCTGTCTCCGATTCTGTGTCTCCCTCTCTCTCTGCCCCTCCCCCGTTCATGCTCTGTCTCTCTCTGTCCCAAAAATAAATTAAAAAAAAAAACGTTGAAAAAAAAATTAAAAAAAAAAAAGAAAATGCTGCTATAAACATTGGGGTACCTCTGCCCCTATGCATCAGCACTCCTGTATCTTGTGGATGAATTCCTAGTGGTGTCATTGCTGGGTGGTAGGGTAGTTATATTTTTAATTTTTTGAAGTGCAGTTTTTAAATTTTTTTAAATCTTTATTTTTGAGAGAGAGACAGAGTGTGAGCAGGGGTTGGGGTGGGTGGGGGGACAGACAGAGAGAGACACACACAGAATCCGAAGCAGGCTCCAGGCTCCAAGCTGTCAGCACAGAGCCAGACACGGGGCTTGAACCCATGATCCTTGAGATCCATGACCTGAGCCGAAGTTGGATGCTTAACCAACTGAGCCACCCAGGTGCCTCGAGGTACAGTTTTTAAATAGAGGCCAGAAAAGGCCTCAGTGGGAGGCCAAGGGAGAAGGAACAAAGGGATAGATAACTTGGAGGCAGAGCTCCAAGGGGCAAGAATCTCACAGCAGAATATGGTGACGACTTCCTCACTGAAACTGGCTTCTGTCTTTGTCCCAGCTGTAACTCATTCATCTAGTCAATAAATACTGAACGCTCTACGTGGCAGGCACTGTTATAAGAGGTCAGGAGCCTGGGAGTGGGTCTAGCCCTAGGAAGTATGGCTGGGCTGCTGGGGGCTCCTTCCAGGCTTTCTTTTCCTTGTCCTCAAATAGTGTCAACCCAGCTGGAGGCAGAGCCCGTTGAGGGCAGGCAGATGGTCGTTTCTGAGGCACCCCCAAAGCACTGGAGCCTCTAGGGGCTCCCTCCTTGCCTGCTTGGCTTCCCTGGGTCGGAGGGTGAGGCTACCCCTACTCACACTGCAACCTTCCATGCCTTTCCTATGAATAGCCTCAATGTCCCACAAGCCAGCTCCCCCTGCCCCCATGGGAGACCTCACAGAGTGTCAGATTGGTAATGGCCCCGGAAGCTGTGGGACATTCCTTGGGCTCCCATCCTGGGGATGTTTATTCTACAGGCAGGCGGAGGGTGAGAAAGGAAAGAAAAATGTGGCAATCTGCTGCATCCACGTCAG